CACCTCGCAGAATAGCCACGATCATTCTGCACAAACGGGTGGGGACGGTACAGCTTGCGCCGCACCGAAACGGCTCCGCCACTCTGAACGCCGGCATGGCGTGTACGGCGATCGTGAGAAACGTTGCTTCGCAAGGACCTGCAAAGCGGGCACGCAACTGGGGCAGAGCGTGTGCCAGAAATTGAGGGATGAAAAAACGGCCCTACCCTGGGTTACGAGTGCGTGGTCTGTAAACCTCCTGGGAACCCCCAAAGCCTAGAGCCGCCAGGACGCGGCACATCACGCAGGGTTTACCCTGTCAGCCCACAGGAGTTTCAGCGCGAAGCGCCTCGTAAACCAGGGTAGGGGCGTTTTTTCCTGCCCTTGAAGAAAGGCGGCAGGCCGGACAGGCGCCGAGGGCGCACGAGTCGACGTGGTGGAACTCTCCCCTCAAGGCGGGGGAGCCAAGAGGTGCCGCATGCCGCCGCTCCCCGGGCCTCGCCCGGGGTGCGCTCTGGCCAGAAGTTCGAGGCGAGCCCAGCGGTGGCGACGAGGGCGTCCCAGGAGGCCCCAAACGGGGAAAACGAGGGAAGCGCAGCGTCGGGATCCACCCAAAAAGGGGGTGACCCTGAGGGGGCCCGAGTTCGATCCGCTGGTGCACCGAACTACCGCAAGCAGATGCCCCCCCGCATGCCCCACCTGTCCGCAACTATCGAGAGCTGCCTGCGGCTGGTGGGCGTCTGTTTTGGCTGGTTCGATGCAAAAGCCGATCGAACTCTCTCTCTCTCTCTCTCTCTTTCTCTCTTACACCTGGGGCACGCACACCCTTTGCTGGATCCCGATGGCGGCATGGGTACAGTTCCCCCCTCCGACCAAAGGAGCCCGCCTGTCCCGAGAAGGGCACAGGCCGCCGAAACTTTCTGAGGATCAGGCAAGCCCTGACTCCGGATCCGCCCTACTTTGGGGAAATTCGTAAGTAGGGCTTGGAATTTCCGCCTTACTTTTCAAGCCCCGCTGATGCCAATTTCCGCCCTATTTTTTCTGCTGTTGTTTCCGCCCTACAGCTGTGGATTTTCGCCCCATTTCCTGTTGGGTGCAGAAATGTCCGCCCTACTTGTTCGGCTCCTCATAGGTGGATTTCCGACGCAATTTTAAGTTGAAAAAAAAAACCAAAGTAGGGCTCCAGGGAGCGGCAGCAGGCAGCCGGGCCAGGGGCGCCCCAGGCCGAGGAGCCCGAAGGGTGCTCCACGAGGGAGCCCGCCCCCGGGGTCCCAAGAGCACCAGCGGCGCCGCAGCGGGAGGGCGGCGCGCGGGAGCACCTTCGCGACAAAAGGCTGCGAGGGGCGCCTGCCTCGACGGCGTGGGCGCGCCCCCCCCCAAGTTTCGGGCGCTGCTGCAAGCGAGGCTGAACCTGAGCGGTGCTTTTCGCTGTCGTGATGTGTGTTCGTTCTCTTCCTCGCCTTGCCTTCGCTTCGCCTGGCATGCCAAACCAGACGAAAACACAAACGACCCGCGAGATGGCCCAAACACCGTTTCGGTCCAGCCATGGCTGAAAAGGTGTGCCTGGGCACCCATGGCCCGGAAGCTCCTGACGCCGCGCCGTCTGCTCGAGGTCGGGCGATGCCTCCGCCCCTGGGAGCGCGCCCTGGGGCCTGCCCCCAGGTGCGTGACCTCGCCCAGGGCCTGGAGACAGGAAGAGGCGACATGCAAAAATGGGACGCACAGAGACGTCCTGTTACTATGTCATCCTCGGAGGCGCGCGTCCGACGCGAACAGATAGGATGCCAACATTGTGGTAGATCGTTTTCCGAGCGGTGTGGCCAGACGGCGCCCGCCACGACGCGCATACTGGAAGCTTTCTCGCTGCGCGCGTCGCCCCTGGGGGGGGCGAAGCACACATGGTGTAGGAGCACGTCGGGGGAGTGGCGCCGCTGCCCACAGCGGGCAGTCGAAACGCGCAGCGCTGAGCCCGCCCTCGGCCATGGCCCGAGGCGGCCCCCCAAGAGGGGGGCCCTAGCCTGGAACGCCCGCGCCACGCGTGACGCGCCGCACCCGGGGCGGCGCGAGCCTGGCGCAGGCCTGCTGAAAGAGGCCCCAGCCGGGGGGGCAGCGGAGCAGCCCGCCGCCCCAAGGTGGAGTCCGTTTGGGGGGGGGGGGGAGGGGCAGGTGCCGGGGAGAGCTGCCAGGGATGGGCCAGATGCGGAAGGGTGCCTTGCCATCGCTCGGACGTCCACTTCCCGTGCATGTTTCGGTCTCGTGCGTGTTTTTTTTTGCTCGATGGTCCAGGATGGTCCTCGATGGCTCTCGCCGAGAAAAAATGCACGCGTCCGAGCGATGCTAAGGTACAGGGACGCAAGCGTGCCCCTGGAAGGCCACTCATCCCTGCGATCCTGCTTGGCCGCACGGCATGGCCCCCAGACTCGGCCCCTTCCGCAGGGACGGGCTGCTGCTTCGTCTCGGGAGGGCTTTCGATCGCCCTGCGACCCATAAGCGGCCTCCAGGCGTCAGCACTTGCAACTCATCCCTTTATTTCGGTTGTCGAGGCGTCACGCAAGCGG